CCATAGAGTAATTATATGCACCTTTCCATACATCCCCATGGAAATTTAACGCTGAATTGGAACAGTGGGATGTAAGCCTCGTATTAAGGAGGATGAAATGGAGACCTGCAGAGGTCAGACACTTGCTTGAATCAGAATCGTTGTGCAAGCAGCAGAACCAGTGTTAGTTCCAGGCCACCCTTCCAGGCAGGACGCTGTCCTTTGTCCAGGTTGCCACCGCATCCCTGAGGTGCTTCTCTCTTTTCCCACCACACAGGTTCCAGCCAGGAAAGGCAAGTGTTTGAAAAGGCTTTGGGGAAACTTAAACCCTACACGTCGTCGTTTGGCGCAACATCTACAAGAATGTTTAGAAGAGAGGAACGGGAGCCCAGCATCTCCGGGAAGTTCAAGATCACTGACATACTGACAGTGGGCAAAGATGTCAACCTGACCCTGATGCTCAAAAACCTAACGAGTGATTCGAAGACAGTGATGGTGAACATGACAGCCTGGACCATCATCTACAATGGCACACTCGTACACGAGGTGTGGAAGGAGTCTGTCACCCTATCCCTGGGTCCCAATGAAGGTAACTCATCCTATAGGTCGCTGGGGTACCATGCACCCAAGGAAGCTGGTATTCTCTTGGGATTGGAGAGTTCCTGTTGGAACCGAGTCAATTGATTAAGGAAGGAACAGCACATGGCTTCTGTGGTCAAGCCTGGGGTTTTGAAGTTTTGGAGACTGCTATTATGGTGAATAGTGCAAGTCAGTGTGGTGCTAACCAGAATCCTTTTATGCCCTGGGGGAAGAAGGAGGGAGGCTTTGGCAGTTAATAGACACACTGCAAATACCCCTTACAGGCACATACCACATTGCCCAGTGTGCAGAGGACTTCCTCATATATTCGTATGTACTATCACATTTGACCTTCTAAAAGGACAGATTTCAATATTCCCTTTTACAGAGGTGGAAACTGAGGCTTGGAGAGATTGTGACTCGCTTAAGAGATTGTGTCATAGCTAGCAGGTGGCAATGCCAAGTCTTGGTCCTAGATTTCCTAATGCTAAATCCAGTGCCACCACCCATTTTCTAGGTTTTATTGCTGCCACCCCTCCCCCATACCAGCTGCCACCCTACCCTACCCCTCCCCACCCCACAATGAATCACTATCTGAGTTTGACCCTAGAAGGGTTGCAATATACCACAAGGTCTTGAACCCTCTCCAATGTTCCCCCACAGCTGCCAGTGGGTGGGTGGAATTTCTTGATTCCCAGCCACAGTGATAGGTTTTCTCAGAGGTCTGAGCCTCTGGGAGGAAGCATGACTTTGTACTCCTGGGTAGCATAGACGGGAGGGGCCAAAGTCGAGCAGAGAGGGTCTGGGGCTGTGGAAGGATTAGAATGCAGGTGTGCCCACAGTGGCAAAATCCTTCAAGCTGTTATGAAAAGTCTAGACTTATACAAAGCAGATTAACAAGGGTGGGGTGGCTATTTGCTTCACATAAGGAACTAATAAAAACTGATTAATTACACAGCCCATCTTGAAAGAATTCCGTCTGCAGAGAAGCTGCAATACCTCTGTATTACACCTGTCAGAAGGCAGCATCCCTAGCAACCTCTCTTCTGGCAGAATTTAGCAGAAATCTTCCCCATACCAAGAGCAACTGCCTGGCTGTTATTTACCTTCAAAGCTCAAGGGAAGAGCTATTTCTGTAGAGCAAAAATAATTTACGTGAGGTAAATTGTTTCTAAAAAGCCATACTTCTGCCAGAGGCAGCAGAGTGAAATGGGAAGGAGAGGAAGGAGGCAAGTGAAGTGGTTCTGGAGGCCTGACATCATCACCTACTTTCTGGGCAACGCTGTTAAGTCCCCCACTTTTGCTGAGCCTCAGCGTTCGCTGTCCAAGAGGGCTGGACCAGCTGATGCAAGGGCCTGCGTCTCCACATTTGGGGCAGGCTAGGTAAATCCCTCCAGTGCTAAAAGCAGAGACAGCTCCTTCCTCACAGACTTTCCTCAAGGGGTGTATGACCCTATGGACGCGGGGGCCCCCCCAGACCACCCAACATGACTGCATAAGGGAGGGGGGAGTGCCCTGCACCCATTGGAAGGGGAGGACCCTCGCTGCCTGCCCTGTGAGTCAGAGAGGGACCTTGAAGCTTGGGGAGGAGCCAGATAGAGGGAGGAAAGCTGGGGAAGGCCTTGCCATCTGAGGGGACCTTGTGAGTCAAAGCTTGGAGGTGATAAGGTACCTATTTTGTCAAAAGGACAATGAGAAGCATGGGAGGGAACGTTCTTTGGAGGGGGAGAGTCACGAAGAACCATACTGAGGGCTCTGAACCCTATTCCTGGGGCAGTGCGGGGCCATGGGAGATTTCTGAAGTGACATGGGAGAAGAGTGACGTGATTTGTGGGGGGAAAGTGCTTCTAAAGCCCGTCTTCTGGTGTGTGTGAGTGTCTTGCAAGCAGGGGAGACCAGAAGTGGGGAGGTGGTCCAGATGCTGTTGCCATAGAATCCCAGGCTACTGGATGACCGGGGAGGACCCAAGCGCTTATTTAGCCCTGGCTTCCCTTGCTAGTTATTATTGTGTGGTCATCATTACTGTTTTCATCATTGGGTAATGAGTTAGTACTCGTATTCTTCCCCTGCCCCTTAGAAGGAAACTTGCCCTCCGGTATTTTCCAGGACAGGGAGGCAGCTTCAGCCCCTATGAGCCCATCCAGCCAGAGTCCTGGGCTACCCCTGGCTCCTGCTCTGCAGCCTGCACAGAGCAGACAGATGTTTCCCACAGGGCCTGGCAGGGAGGGTTCAGGCAAGCCTGGGCTGCAGATGATCCCAGCCAGCTCACATCGACTTGGCTTGGCATCAGCTTTTAAGGTTTCGACCCCACTCCCTCTCACTCTGCTCCCTGGCTTCTCCTTCCAGAAATACAGCATCCTGTAAAGATCGCATATGCACTGTACGAGAGGTACCTGAAGGCAGACAACATGATCCGGGCCACAGCCGTGTGCGAGATCAGTGACGAGACCGAGGCGGTGGTGGAGAGGGACATCATCCTGGACAACCCCACCCTGAACCTGGAGGTAAATGGGTGCTGAAGGGGTGCCTCTCCAGCCAGCCCAGCCCTCCCAGACTACAGAGAAGGCCCTCCCCTGCTGACGGGCCCGGCTCTGCTCCAGCCTCTGCCAAATGGATCAGTCAAGAGTTCCAATCAGAGTCGCATCCTTGGGACTTCCCTAGCGGTCCAGTGGTTAGGACTCAGAGCTTTTACTGCAGGGGGCACAGGTTCAATCCCTGGTCAGGGAACTAAGATCCTGCAAGCTGTGGGACGAGGCAAAAAAAAAAAAAAGTAGCATGCTTGCTCCCTGTCTGGCAATATCCACAGGCACGTTGCCCTGTGACTTCTTTGGTCGCAGCTCTAGACCCGCTGGGGATGCCAGCTGAGGATGGCCAGAGGGGCTCTTCAGCTCACTTGCTCTGGTCATCTGCTGTGTCCTGGGCTGTGCCAGGCTTAGGAATCACAGGCTTGGGAATCACCCACAGGGGTGGGTCCTGACTGCAGGAAACCCACAGCCCAGTCCCTGGACACATTTGTAGAGCAAATCAGAAATGGGCATAACTCATGTGCATCTCCCAACTCTAGACCCCAGAGTTACAGAATTGTGGACTCTTGGAGACCCAGTCTCGAGCTCCCATGTCCTGCCATTTCACGTATCAGTAAACTGAGGCCCAGAGAGGAGAAGGGAATTTCCAATTACTGCCAGAGCCAGGGCTAGACCTCAGGCCCTTTCCATGGCATCCAGCATGTCCACAGCCAGCAACAGCATCTTCCCAGTGGTTGAGAATGAGGATGCCTCATTTTTTGACTGCAGGCTCTGCTCCCAGGCTCCCTCTCAGGAGCCCAGGCATCTGGGGGCTTGCAGGTTGGCGTGAGGCACTTGGGGCCATTCTGTTCCTTCCTCAGCACTGGGGCTGGAAGTATTTGGCTGACTCCAAGCCTGTCCCTAACCACGCCAACCCCAGCCCAGTGTGGAGGCTGCCAAAGCCAGACAGCACAAATCTGAGGGGTGAGAGCCTGGCAGGGGAGGACAGGCAGACGAATGGGTCAGAAAGATGGGGTCTTCCCATGGGATCCCATAGAGAGCTTCATGGGTCCTCCCGAGGCTCCTCCGGAGTCTGCTGTACCATCTGCGCCAGCAGTCTAGACAGAGATTGCCTTTTTTTCCCCATCGCAGTGCCACTAGCCTCCCTAGCCCCAGATTTCTAGAGTACTTGTGGCTTCCCTAGTCCCACCCTCCCTAAGCTACACCCCAGCTTCGGAGGTTCCTAATGTCAGACAGAGGGCAGGGGGACCCAGGGCACCTGCTCCATGCAGCTAGCCTGCAATAGAGCTCTTTAATTGTCCTGGTTAGTCTAGACTGTGCTTCAGAATGGGGGGAGGGTGGTTGTCCATCACCTCCAGGGCCAGGGAGGGAGTGCCACCCCTGTTGTGGGCCCATCACAGTGGTTGTGAAACAGAAACAGCCCCCCACGTTGGGCAGGACTAGAACAGAGCTTCTGGGCTCCAGGCTCGCCTTCTTTCCTGCCCACCGAGTTTTCATCCTCAATCCATGATTGTCCCCTGAGTGTAGAAGCTTCTGCTTCCCAGGACGTTTCCAAGAAATGCACCCCATCCCTGTAGAATGACAGGCAGCAAGTGTTGTTTCCCACTCCTCAGGCTGCGAAATGCAACATTCTGCATAAAAATTATCAGTGTTTAAATGAAGTTAGTTTTTCCCCATTATATTCCCTTATCCAATATCCTCAAACCTGCTTATAGCTTTCTCTTTTATGCAATACTTTTACTCTACATCTTTTAGACTTCCATATCAAATCAGCTTTGTCTTTCAAGAGAGCGTAACATCTTTTAAAAGGAAATCAGAATATACACAGCCTGGAAATATTCCATCAAAAACTTTCTTATTTAATCTTTTTATAGAGCATCTGCTCTTTCTTCTTTGGGGCATCTTTGTGTGAATTTGCTCTTGCCACCTCTCTTTACTTCAGCCTTCAGAGAATCAAGACAATCTCATCTTGATTGAATGAATCAATGCATAGCTCACTCAGAGCAGGGCACGTGGGTGATCTGTATGAAAAGAGAATAATTTGGGTAAAATCCTATTATCTTACTTGACGCTGATTGGGAGTAGGTATTGAAGACTTAAGAACCAGACCATACAATCTGAACTTTGTTCCAAAGGGTGATGTCCTTCACGTTGACCCATGACCTACTGACAATCAGACACAGTCTTCTGGTGGCTCTTATCCTCTTCTTTGGGTGCATGCACAGATTTAGGTCAATAGGACAGGGTGGTAAGCAGCAATAAAGAAAAGAAAACAAATACACGAAAATCTCAAATTGAATATCAGTGTGAAGAATATGGTGCCATTTATGTACCCTTGTGTCCCAATGTCATAAAATTATGCTTCACTCTTCAAATCATGTCATACACTTAAATGAGTTCCATAGGAGAAATTATGGTATAGATCATGGTCTCTAAAATATTTCAATTATGCACAAATTATTGGCAGGCATTGCAGGGTCTAGCAAGAAGAGCAAATGGCTCTGGAACCAGAAAGGCCTTGGTTATTGAATCAACCTGAAATGCAGATTTATTACTGGAAAATGGCTGCAGTGAGAATTGGTGGCAAGAAAAAAAAAAAAAAAAAAACCAAATGAACAAAAAGCAGCAGCCTCTAAGCATCCTCAACAGAGAAAAGAAATCCACCAGTCACCCAGTTTCGGTTTCTGTTTCCAAAGCGCTTTTTTCTGCATCCATGATCTCATTTGGTCCCTTGTAGCCCAGGGAGGGAGGAGGGGAGGGATCAGCCCTCTTTATCAGGGTGAGAGTCAAGGCCCAGGGAGATGCCGTATCTGTCCAGGCTTGGCGGCTTTTCAGC